TACATTCTTCGAAAAAGAAGAAAGAACGAACTAAAAAAATGTCAGTGCCTGTTTTTAGTCTTCTTTTGTCTGTGGGTTATGCATTTTGTACCTGATGTACGGGTATAATATAGCGTTCACATGTGTACCTATACATATACTGTTACAAAAGGCGCATTCCTCATGTTACGACGTCATTTACCTTCTTTCCAACCGGGTTATTCTTTCATTTGCAGGTGCACTATTCACACCCATTTCAACGTTAAATGATCACAGGTGTAATTTTTTCATAATGGCTGCAAATGAAAACTGATGCGATTCAAAGAAAATCAATTAATCAGAATTACGAGATAGCAGATTTATTATTTTTATTTGAACAGTCGTGCTCCGCGTGCAACCTTTACTCCTAAATAAATCTTCATGTAAATAAGTAAAAGAATGTTTCCGCCATTATAATGAAACATTCGCAATTAAATTCGAATGTAATCNTCATCATCATCATAAGGTCGTCAGTCCTAAGACTGGTTGGACACGCACCTCCACTCTTTCCTATCCTGAGCTAAACTTCGCATTTCCCTAAAACTAGAACAACCCACACCCTTAACTATATGCAAATAGTAATCTAATCTGGGTTTACTTCTACTCCTCTTAACTTCTGTTTCTGCTTCTATGTCTCTGATTTAACCCTTCATACCCGAGAAAGTGTCCTACCAACCTATCTTCTTATTGACGCCAATAGAGTTGGTTTTTGATACCAATTGGTTAATAGTTTGCCGTCTTTTCTCTCCACTTCAACATCCAAAAAACAGAGTTTCTGGTCTACCTCTCGTTCATGCGTGAATTTCAAATGTTCATCACCAGAGTTGAACACATCTATCAAATTATCCACCTCTAAGATTGGTAGTACCCTGAAGCTGTCATCAACATGTCTAAAATATACAGGATTTCTCATATCAAGTTTAAACTCTAAATCATTCATGACAATCTCTGCTAATATTGGACTGAGGGGAGAGCCCATGGGGCTACCAAACTTTTGTCAGTAAAATTCACCATTGAAAATAAAAAAAGTTGATGACAAAATGAGATTAACAGCTTTTATAAATTCGCTCCAAGGGATGTCATAATTAGGTTGTATTTGTATTGTTATTGACGCCAATAGAGTCTTTTGTTTTCCTATTCTTTCCAATACCTCTTCGTTTCGAATATTCTCTATCCACGCTATCCTCATCATTCGCCTATAACATCACATTTCGAACGCTTCTAACCTTTTCTTTTCCACCGCTCCCACTGTCCATGTTTCGCACCCGTACAACGCCGTGCTCCAAACATACACCTTTAACAATCTTTTTCGAATTTCCAAATTAACCGTTCGCGAGCATAGACGTAATTTCGTTTTAATGAAGGCGACTCGACCCTGCGTTATCCTCTGCTTTATATCCCTACTACTCCTTTCGTCCTGACTTATCTGACTTCCTAGATACCTAAATTCAGCCACTTATTCTAATCTTTCGTTTCCTATCTTAACATTCGCTCGTTCTCTACTTTTTCTTCCCATGCATACCATTATTTGTGTGTTACTTTTATTTATTTTCGTACAGTACTGTTTTGTCAATACCGTCTCTATTTTATTTAAATCTACCTCTAACTCCTACTTGCTATATGCTAAAATTGCTATATTATCTGCAAATCTAAGCACACTAATCTCTTGTCCCTGTATATCTATCTCTTCAGTTGTGCTGTCTTTAAAGATGTTGATCGCGTCCTCGAAGTATATATTAAAAAGTAGTGGTGACAATGTGCATCCCTGTCGAACTCTCGGACTCCCTTCCTAATGTTTACTTCTCTACGTTGCATCCCTAGCTCTATAACTGCCTGTTGCTCTTTATACTAAGTATCACTCTTCTATCTTTGTAATTCATCCCTACATTTTTAAGTATATTTAACATCTTGTCCCATTTAACATTGTCAAAAGNTAATTTCAATTTTTGTCAACTTCTTTTGTTAAAATTACTTCATTTGTAATTTAATCCGGACCTGATAATCCTCTCGAAGAACGTACCAAAGTCGATCGTTTTGGTCCTTTACCTTCCTCCAGATTCTGTTATACTTCTGAGATAGCTTTAATTGTCTGGAATGCATACTCATATTTTGTTGTAGGTAATTGCATAATCGATTACGTAAAGGTAACCGTAGATTTCTGTTTGTTGCTTTTATGGCAAATTTTTATTCGAGTCACAAGTGCCTGATGTTTTATTAATGCTTTCGACGACGAAGTGTGGAAGGTAGACGTATTTCGTATTTCTGTAATCGAGCGTTATTTTACCTTCACTTATTAAAATTTTATTTGCCCAATGAAACACCGACCGCGTATCGCGGTGAAATATAAATAAACAGCTCAATAAAAATAGCATATCGAATTTCATTATTTCAAAAAAAAAAACAAAATATCAAGGACAAATGTTAACTGTCACATCTTAAATAAACAACTCAGTAAACTTTAAACGTAAAAGATAAGCAATAAAATATAGATTTTGTTTTTATTTATTCATTATTTTCTCTCTCAAACAGTGGCGGATCCAAAGAGAAACTAATGGGGGAAATTGCACCCCAGAGCTCGAAGACATGTTAAAAATGCTGATTGAAAAAAATAAAATTCATCATCATCATAAGGTCGTCAGTCCTAAGACTGGTTGGACACGCACCTCCACTCTTTCCTATCCTGAGCTAAACTTCGCATTTCCCTAAAACTAGAACAACCCACATCCTTAACTATTTGCGAA